TGGCAGCTCAATTGCCCTTGTTTCATATAATTCAGTTTTGGACCTTTTTTTCTGTTTTGAAAGTTTACAGCAAATACACTCCTCGTTTATACAAGGAAACAATTCCACTACTCTGACAATATGTGGGTCAACTGAACCTGATTGACCCCCTGATCATGCAAATCCCTACTTACGTTAAGTGTGAAACTCGTGTTCTTTCGGACCTCTTGCGGCCCTTCAAAACCATTTGGGCGTTCCTCATCCGGTGTTTCTGAGTCACTAAGGTTAATGGTGTGCTTGTGTTAGCAACCAGAGGTTTGCTAGGAAAAATTGGTCTTGATTAAAGAGGTGGAAGATATGCCAATGGATCCACTGTCCGACCGTCTTTCTGGATCTCAAAGTGAAGATGAGGCCCTGTTGAATGGCCAGTGTTGCCGGAGAGGGCTATGACTTGCCCCTTGCGTACAAATTGACCCGGTTGCACATGCAAGTTGTCGCAGTGTGCGTATAGTGTGACGAATCCATTGCCGTGGTCCATGCACACCGTTTTCCCATATCCTCCTTTCCATCCAGACCATGTGACCTACATCCAAACAAGGCACGGATGTCAGCCTTCCGTATCAATAATTGAAAACAGGAGCACATCGTGAAGTAAGACATTTTCAGAGATCATAAGGCTCATTTGAATACTTATGAAATAGGAAGTTGTGAAAAAACGAACGCTACCTTGCCACTAGTTGATGCAATCACTTCGGTACCACGTTCAACAGCGATATCAATGCCATTGTGAAAGTACCAACGCCCATCTGTACAACATCCCACATATTGAAATGTCAGCGAGTCGTCAGTGGATATACCACTCTCACAGGATATCAAGTTTGTGAGATCCCTCTGATAAGCTGCAAATCAGATTAACAAGTAACCTAAAACTCGGAGGCGAAAGATTCATTGCGATTATAAACTGAGTTTATGAGTGTTACTCAGAGCAATCCTGTGGAGCAGAGGACACTTGCTACGTATGAAATGAAAACTCGACGGCAGTAGTTCACAAGAAATTGAATCATCTACTCGATGAGACAAGGTATACCTACCTTTCCATCCATAGAAGGAGCTAAGCCAGCCACCGTGACAAGGTAGACCAAATGGCTCTGGTTCCCATTTCGGCAACATTGATTCTACAATTTTATTTTGAACAATTGGTTTCAAAGCTGGAATAGTTTCTAGATTTTCTTTGCGCAGCAAATATCGCAAGGGAGGCCCTTGAGACAGCGTCATGCAAGCTGGTTGTGCAGGAGAAGGGATTATAAGTTCCTGCCCGACGTACAAGTGACTTGATCCCTGCCAAGAATAAGAGGATGCCACATGTCAGTTGACACACTATAGTTGGGATAAACCCGAAAAATGATGAACCATAAACAATAGAAATACAAAGCCGAGTAATACAATGGAGTCCAGTACCGGAGGTAAGTTGTTTGACCGGCGGATGTCGTCAGCACTAACATGATGCTCATCTGCTAGACTCCATAATGTATCCCCCCAATTGGCAATAACCCGCTTCTCTCCCTTCGTTTTGTCGTCCCCTGTACAGACCAAAACATTAGATTTTATGTCATGCTTACCTTCGAGAAAAACCCACAGATTCAAGGATTGGACCATCATGATTAGCTATGCACTTTCAACCTTCAAGTCTCCGATCACCCGATCACTGATTAGTTTCTATGAATCGATCGAGACGAATTCTGTAGTAAGGATTCAGTATAACTCACAGAAGCGTTTATGTTTAGATGCCACGACCTTCCTTGGAATGCGCAAATTCTGCCCAGGCTGCAAACATGTGTTGCTCGTTATTTCCCTAAACACTGGAAGCAAGTCTTCAGAAATGATGATTATAAGGAGACAACTAAAAGAAGCTCGTAAACGTCCCGCATTCTAAACCTAGACAGCGCAACCGCCACTAGCGTTGATCATCAGAATGACGAGAAAAATCTATGATCCAAACAACGCCAGACAAAAAAAATGAGATGGGTGACATTGTAGTGACATCATGCAAAGCATAAGTCCTCAGAATAAGCTGGCCATGAAGACTCTTAATCCTGTAAATAATTGCCTAATATAAGTGAGTTTAGGTTACGGATGCGGTTCAACTTATGTGTAGTGTAGATGACCATACATGATTACATGCTTTTATCCGTGAACCCGTCTAGGACCCTGGATCGAAATCCGAAAGAACATTTCCCATTGACCATTACCATTCACAACCACGCTGTATATCTTCACATAGTCCTCTCCTTCGGCAGTCATTTTGCTTAGTTCAAGTAGACCCACTGTAAGTTACAGTGAATGGCAGAGGAACTAGGTAGAGGGGCACGAAGGAAAGCAATAGTCTTCACCCCACTGAGTATATCATTATCTTCAACTAGGACGGAGAACCTTTGGGGAAAATTGATGCGGGATCGTGACCCTTGAAAACCTTGCAGCTAAAGTATAGTGCCCATTCATCAGTTCTCGACTGAAGACGAATTCAAAGTGAGCTTCAGAGGGATTCAATGTTTATCAGGGCTCAAGGTTATTCCTTAACACAAGGTACTAATAGACAGTCTCTGGGACATCGTAACAGAGTTGGGTACACGAAATGGGTTGTGAAGAGTACATGCGCACCGTGCACAAACTCAAAAGCTCGCATTCACTCACATTGCCCGTGAAGATCAAGCGTTTGGAGGTTAAAGTGTTCTTCACTCACAAGGTTACAGTTGTTTAACTCCGCTTCTATCCCGAAGTTGGACTAAGCCCAGTGAAACCACTAAACACAAAAGAGTCGGTTTAAGTACCACCAAACTCAAGTAAGAAGCACCTCGTAGTAGAAATGTCACCAGTCGAGAAAGAAAGGGTTAACCCTCAAACATTTTCAGCGAGAGCAATATAGAAACGATATCAAAGAAACTGGAGCAGGTAGGCAAGAGAATACAGACTTCGCTCGTAAAAAATGAAAATCAAACAAAGTAGAGCGGGGCAGAGGAGAGCGTTGGCGATAGCAGAGAGACGAGAGAAGCACACGTCGTAGCTAAAATCTCAAAAACAGGAAACTTGAAAGAATGAGTTCAAAACAAGCTGAGTACGAATGCAGTAAGGGAACGGAATCGAAGTGATAAAAACCATGTAAAAATTAATACATTACCATACAAAGAGAGAAAAAAGCGTTCATGGGGTGCTACCTTCAGATGCTCGATATTCGCAATGCTATTGACACGCTGCAATACCTCCATTGGAATTCCAACTAGTCTTGATATTTCTGAAAGACAGTCGCCATGGCGCACAACAAGAGTAGAGAACTCCGCATCCTGGTAGCAATCTCGTGAGAAATCCTCACCTTTCTTGATGATAGAATGAGGTGACGAGGCCTGACTTCCACAAGCCCACAAGTGGAAGACTTGGACGAGCAATCCTAATTTGCTCTCTGGCTCAAAGAGAGATTGAGCTACTTTGGCATCAGCACTGTCATCTTTCTTTATCAATGCATCTTTTAAGTCATACGAAAGACCTCGAGACTCCGCATCAGCCCGATCATCTTCTCTGAAAAGAGACATGAGATTCTTCCGTTTCACCACGATGTGCGAATGGGAATCCGCCATTGGCTCTTTCCTCGGTAGCAGATCTCTCAACCATGATGTCATTTCGCAAATCTCAGCAAACGGAGGTCTCCACTTCCCGTAAGCTTCTGAAGGACTCCTGGCTAGATTACAGCGAAGGGCTACGGATATCTACACCGCTGTTGTCCAACTACTTCCCTCACTCTCAACATTGTGCAAACGAGACCGCAGCTAATCCACCCATGCAGTTAACCAAAACCACTTCCACCAATGCGATTGCTGCAAGAAGGCTAAAAGATAATTTGCGCAATCAGGACTACACGAGGGAAAGAAACGAAACCACCACCACTGCGAGAAATCGATGATGCTGGGAATGTAGCGGAAAGACAAATCAGCGGGAGAATTACGAGAGTCAACGGGCTGAAGCAGGCAAGCTGGAGAATGAACATCCTTGCATATCATGACAAAGAAACCACTGCACCTCCTCCAATCGAATACCGCTGCAAAGAAACATCACAACACCCAGCACATCCAACGAAGCAAGACCAACAACAAGGAAGGCGCGCAACCAGGCCAGCAATCGGTGTACGTGATGACAAAGATGCGGTGCGCTGGCAGTGCGACGGAATGCTTCTTCGCCTTCACACAACCAGCGGCGCTCTCCAATGCTCACCACGAATACAGTTATAATGACTCGCATCGGGGGGATGGAAATAGAAACGCGGGAGCCATTCGAGCTCCGATCTGCGAGGAAGACGTTGGAGATGGTGCCAAAATAAAGGTCAGTAGCCGGGAATCAGCAACCCCGTAGCGCATGACATGGCCCCGCTCCGGGCCAAAATTGGCCTACACCGGAAGGAATCTGGCAGCAGCTCGTAATACCTCTGATTGGCAACAACATCATCATCGCTACAGTGAATCAATCCTCCTCCACTAGAAAAGGCATTATTAGTAATCAGGCCCTCGAAAATCTCCCTCTCTCTCTCTCTCTCTCTCAACATAGTTTGCGGCAAAGTAGCGAAGCCGCGAAGACGATAGCCCCACGGCGAGCGCGACAACAGGGGCTCCCCTTTTTCTATAAAGGAATGAATGAATGGTCTCGTACATTTTTGGATGAAATGTAGAAACTCATCCAACAAACTAAACAGCCCCCCCCCTCTCATGAATGAGATTAATGGATGCCCGGTCAATGGATTTGGGTATTGCAACAGACTGAACAGCAATATCTAGCCCGATCAAAATTAAAGGGAAGAAGGGGGGTTAAGGCAGTCATTCAACCCCTTTCCCTGTCTCCCTCTCTCCCTCCCTCACTGCCCCCATTACGCACCATTATCCCCAATGAGAAAGGCACTGTATTAATGATCCTCTCAGCAGAAAAAAGATAAATTGGCTTTTGTCTTAATGCTTCCTTTGCCAATCTGCCACAAAACTCACACAATGATTGGCATTAAATATTGTGAATTTCTTCCAGGGAAAGAGAAGGGTTTTTTCACTCTCACTTGAATGAGAGCCAATCATCAGTGAGATCTGCCAGAGAAAAAGGGACATTGAAACTCTGCCTGATTCACTCCTCCTCCTCCTCCACCAAACTGCACTGTAGTGAATGCTGACGTGGTATTGTCCGACGTGGCGTTGCCAGCTTGGCAGGGGTGCATGCATACATGTGTGCATGACCCCAAGATAGCCTTGGATTTTAGAATGTGGTACTGCCACTTCTCCCAGGGGGGAAGTTGCAGTGAGTGAGTTGCAAGGTTTGCTTGAATGCTGTGGAGGGGGAGCCCTTGTGAGGAGCAGTCCTTGGTCCCTAACAAAAAAGTAATTCCTCACTCTGTTCTTCACAGTCCTTTACAGATGGATGGGCCAAGCCAGGAAGGGAGGGGAATGACAGGCTGCAAATAATATAGCCCCTCTTATCTTCATCCAGAGCCCTACTCTACCCTACCCAGTTGTATTATATGTATGTGACCTGGCTTACTAACTTACTTACTTACACAGGGGCTCACATGGACTAATAGAGATGGCTGTTATGTGACTTGAGAAAGCATGTGAGTGAGAGAGTATGTGTGCATGAGAGTGAGAGAGGGAGAGAGAGAGAGAGAGAGAGAGATATCAAAAGCTTCCATACAATAAGACAAGTTCATCAACAGAAAAAAAAAATGTGGTCAAGTTGAGAAGTGAAAAAGTGGGTTAATATTGGAAGTTCACTTGGATGACTGTTTCATGGAAACATTGCCATAAAGAGGGGAAACTACCCTTGAAAAAAGGGCCAAAGTGGATATGTCTATAAATGGGTGTTTTGTTGTGGGTTTTTTTGAAAAATACCTGTTAAAAGGAAGGTTTGCGTACAGGTGGGTTCTGAACACTTTGTATGGTAAAGTTGAACATTTCAAATGCTGATTATTTATTAAAAGGAAAGAGATATTTTTGAAAAAAAAAAAAATGTGATTTATCAAAATTACCACAGAATGAATCTCTGTGTGGATCTTCGTATGTCTTACTAGTTAACTTCTAGAATTGCACCCACATTAAAATCACCAAACATGAAATGAGGCTTAGAATTATATTCCACAGATATGCAAAATAAAATGTGGTGTCAAATAACATTGTGTAATTAATAAATTGTTGAAAGGCTCTGCATGTTCTTCATCAAAGAACAAACCAAATTGCTTATCATCATGTGTTTTATTTCAATTGGTGTAACACATAAAATGTGAATTCATGTATGTAAACAGATGCATTGAAAAGTTAATGAACATCAGAGTATTCAATCTCTGTTATGTCGTCCATCTTTAATTCATGTGTTTATTTGTTTAATTGTATGCACTTTCATGATGGTTGTGGCGGAATTCAGCTTTACTTTTAGAAAGCCTAAACATTCTGGTTCATGAGGAAACTTTCCTTTTCCCATTTAAGAATGTTAACAAATACTCTGCAGAAATACTTTTTTAAAGCTTCCAGCATTATAATCTTTGACATTGTGTGGTCACTGACTGATATGAAAAGTTTTAATTGCAAATGACCATCAGCATTCTTAATCACTACACCATCAATACTAAACAAGCTGTTTTACCAATCATTACTCTATTGATTGTTCATTTTGAAAATTTGAGCTAAAACTGCTGTAAAAGTGTTGTCACGAGACTAGTGTTTCAATGCATATCTAGAAACCAGAAATATCATATTGTGAAAGGAAAAAAAAATAGTTTAAGATTTTTAAAATCCAATCCAATTTTATAAAGCTTGCGACTGATCACCAACCATACTAAACACACATGTATGTATGTATGTATACAATTGTGCATTATCATTCAAAAATAGATAATAAAATACAAATCTAATTTGTAATCTTTTTCATTTAAAAAACCAGCAATCACATGTCATTTAATTCCTCTGAGATAGAGTTTTAACTTGATAATTCCACAAATATGACATCTTCTCAATGGTCAATTTTGATTTGTGTAACACATCATCAAAGAAGTTTTGTTTCATATACAATTACGTACAAAATGTTTCACACATATGTTGCACATAATACATTTCACATAATACATTGCATAAGCAATGTTGCATTGTTATTCCAAACAGATTCCAAAATTAAAGAATATAATCATATGTTTTTAAATATTTTTTTTATTACATTAAAAATCAAGTACCAAGGAGGTTATAACAATGTAAAGCCATAGTTTGACATATAATTAATATACCCAAATGCATCATATTCAATTCTTCTTCTTCTCATACATCCAGGAAACCTTGTGGATGTACAACCATTGAAGCTTTCATGAATGAGAAGGTCTACTTTATTGTATTTCTAATGTCTCATCCATCTGCCCATTGAGACTTATATTTGAAGCTTTGTGGTTTGACTATGGAAAAGACATGGCCCTTGAAAATCCAACACTTATAATATCATTCTAGTCAATAAAAGAAATATAAAAAATAAAATAAATGAAATAAAAAGTCTATAACCCCATGGCACTCTTTGAATGAATAAGACTTGGCAAAGGAGCTTAAAAACCCAATTCATGGCAAGGCATATGTAATGAATGCCACTGACTTTGCACACATCTCCATACACACACCTCATTGCATGCTGCACTGGACCTGGGATCAACCATACTAATAAATACAACAAATAGTAATGCTGGACACCTCATAACCAGTTTTTATACTCTATATTAAACTGATTGCTAAACTCATCGTTGGACTTGTCAAGCAATGTCTACCAAGTTGAATAGTAAATTTAGTGCAACTTTTTAAATTTGGGTTCCTTTTCATGTTTGTTCACAAGAAGCATGCCTCACATTGCTCAATTGACTCAAAACAACGTTTTTTTATGTAAAATAGTGTGTGGGTGGATGGATCAAAACACATGCTTAATTTATTTATTCATATATATATATATATATATATATATATATGTGTGTGTGTGTGTGTGTGTGCATTTTTGCTTGACCGAATCAACTGAATTTGATACTGATGGTTTGATTATTTTAGTAAGCCTTTACTAGAAAAGTTTTGATAGGTATATTCAAAAAATTCACACATCACTACAACATTTCTAATTCTAAACAAGTAATGATTTTTTATTTTTTATTTTTTTTTATTTTTCAATTTTGTCTGCAATCTGTGCATTTTTTGAGTTTTTCCTGTTGAATGCTCACCCAAATAATCAAACCATCAGTAAACTACAAATTTTGTCTTCAATTTTTATTTTATTTTATTTTATTTTTTAAAATTCTTATGCCATTGCATTTGTATTAAATTGAGAATAATCGACTAAAAAAACAATCATCCAAAAATCCTCACAATGCTTCAAAAACTACAAAAATAAACTTATGTATAATATTTTAAAATGATATAAAAATCGGAAATAAATAATTAATGTAGATTCCATTCCAACGTATGTGTACTATCTATATATGATTTAGCTATAAAGAATGCATTTATAATTAAGTTTATGCATCCAATGTTTAATACTCTGTCAGCTGTATGTAACTCTATAAATGTCTGCTAATTAACTTGATTGCTGTATACAAAACTGTTGACAGAAGTTGTTTGTATTTTTAATTCTGTAATGAGTATTAACAAATCAATAAGAAAAATCTTGTCAGTCACATGCATGGTCAAGGCTCTGTTTAACATTATTTCATGTAAAAGTGCAATATGATTTACAATAAATAATGACTATATTCGCCTTCACATGGCTAATTTATTGTTCCACTTGTTAATATTTCAAGCAAAGGTTGTGCACGAGAACACATCATTTCAATCCTTTTAGCTGCTTTAGTTTACTTGATATATTTAAGTTTAAACCTTTTGTTGTTACTGTGTATTATCGTGTCATACATACATACGTAAATATATACACACATTTATACATATTTGAATGTTCAATCAAAACTTCTGATCAATGAAAAAAAAACTAGAGAATTTTCTTCAATGAATTCTAGGCTTCCATACTTTAGCAAACCCACATTCTGATGCTAACTCATCATGTTTTTAAATTGGGAACAGTCATCATCATAAATTGTAAAAATACTTTGAAAATAAAAAAGGTACATTTGACAAATAAAAAAATAATGCAAAAGAATAAAATGGACGTTGTTCTGACATGACATAAAACTCACTCTAATGGCATTATTAAAAACTATTGGCATTTAAATAATTAGCAAGTTATATAAAACGGAATTCAATGAAATAATTTTTCATGTGTAGGACACATTTTATTCAACTGTTGCAGACTATGCATATGTGTGTGTAATATTTGATACAATTCGTTCAACACACTTTATATCTATGATATATGAACATTAAAGAGTTGCTCCTTAATAAATCAAAGATTACAAAACATTGAATGAAAACCATCAGAAAAACTTTTATAACATACATGCAATTAAAAGTACTGTACAATAAACTGTACAATTTAATATTCTTATTGTAATAAGAATATTCAAACATAAAGAATATT